AATTTTTTTCTTTGCACATTTAAACAAATATTTACAGTTTCTTTTTTGCAAAGTTCTGTACATAAAAGTAAATATACAGAAACAACCCTCAGTAATCCTCGCTGGCGGGCTCACCGTTTACAAGGAAGACTTACACTGATTACTTAAATTTATGAAAAAAAATGGGAATGCTTTTTTAAATTAAAAATTATGTGACAGAACCTCTCACTCCCCCAGGTTTCTGTACTTGTCATTTAAGAGAATTTCTCTCTTTCGAAGGTATTGGGGATAAAATGTCCCTCCCTTAGGCTCACTTGAGCCTACTTCACTTGAGGGGTACCATAACTGCTAAGTAACTAGACAAAGGGACCCTCTCAAGGGTAACCAACTCTCCCCCTCACTCCAGTAGAAATTGCCAATGCACAGGCCCACACTCTGCTCCTCTCCCTGAAGGGAGCCTACTGTAGATGTCGAGCCCTTGCAAGAGTCCAAGTTCCCTACGCCCACTGGGAATAAGCTCAATTCAAGCTGAGTGGGGGTAGTCTTTGGAAAAAGCTTTGTTTTCCAATCCAGCTTTAACAACAATAAAATTGATATGACGCCTATGACTATTTTGCAATTATCTTAGAATCCTGAAAGGAGAGGCACATGATTAAGTGACTTCTCTAAGTTCCCAGACCTGGGACTTGAGCTTCAGCCAATTTGGCACGAAAAGTATGATTCATGGACCGGTATTATCAGCATCATCTGGGAGCTTCTTAGAAATGCGAATCCTCAGGCACTAACCCAGATCTACAGAACCAGAATATGCATTTTAACAAAGACCTCTGCTGACTCCTGAGCACCTTCAAATTTGAGGAGATCTGCTATAATCCACTATACTTTTTCTCTTTAACCTCAATAAGGAATCTGAATATTATTTTAAGGCCAGTGGAGAGCCAGGAAAATGTCTGAAGTAAGAGAGTGGTAAAATCAAATTTGTTTTTAGATCAATTTTTTTAGGTCAATGACTCTGGCTTCAGTATGGGGAATGCAGAAGAAGAAGGCAATTTTGGAGGCAAGGAGACTGGTGAGAGACTCTTGCTAACCAAGTAAAAGAAGATGGCAGTCTGAAATAGGGTGGTGGCAATGACTGACCAAGGAGAGAAGTAGGTGAATGTATAAGGTAGTGCTGACAGAATGGAGATTCTTTGGGTATGTGATCAAGGAAAAAAAGGAGTTAGTTCACCCCAAGTTTCTGGCTTGCGCAGCTGGTTGCATCATGGTGTCATTTACTGTACATGAGTTTATTTGGGAGAAGCAGGGTGGGCAACAGGAAAGGGAAATAATGAATTTACTTTTAGATTAAAATGATAAAATTTGAGAGAACTGTGGGACAGCCAAGTAGAGCTATAAAGCCGAGACCAAAGAGATGGGGCAGGGAAACCATGTAAATTACTTGGGCATTTTGAAAAGGGTCTCACGGCAAACTCTACGTCAAAATTTTTGCCTGACTTGTCTTTGATGTTTCTCCCCTCTCTCCCATTGTATTCACTGAGTCCAAACCTACTCTGGGCAGTCCTGTACTTGGCAGACAATTGGATATATAGATCTGTAGCTTAGAAAAAGTATCTTAGCCAGAAATAAAGATTTTGGATCTATAAGCATATGGAATAGATATTAATTAAAGCAATGAAATTGCCCAGAAAGAGAAAAGGAATCTAGGATATAGGAGAGAAGTAAAACAGTCTGAGAATAGTGGTCTTAGAAGTAAGAGGAAAACCAGGAGTTTGATATCATGGAAATCCTGGTAAAGAGTATTTCAAGATGGGGAAAGAGGAGAATAGGGTAAAATGCTTTTGAGACATCAAGGAGATAGAGAATGAGAAATATCTGCTGGATTTAGCAATGCACTAGTGATTGATAACTTCAGTGAGTGCTAGGGAACACTGATGAGGACTAAAGCCAGAGTGTGAGAGATTGAGAAGGGCAGGCTAAGGAAGTGGAGGTACTTAATAGAGTGTAGGTAATTCTTTTAAAAGATTGACCTTTGAAACTGATTGATCTATGAAATGAGGGCAACTGGAGGAGCCCAAGGATAAAGAAGCTTTTCAAGACGGGGAATTTGAACATATTTAAATACTGATGGAAGGAGCCAATAAAGACAGAAAGATTAAAATCTGTGATCTATATAGTGAAAGGTATAAGATAATAGGCATTAATTTAGCTCTTCCTTTTTATGTTACAATCTACCAACAGGTCGCTACGGGGATTCTGAAGGATGGCCAGAGAAACAGGAAGATCTCACTGCAGTCATCCTTTCCACGTTCTGGGATCTTTAAAGGCTTAATCGTATCACCTTTCCATTCTAAGCGTTGCTTCCGTAAAAGGAACTGTTCTGCTCCTTGAATCTTCTACTTTTATTTCTGTGACACATTTCCCAGAACAAGGCCACCACGAATTAACTGAGCAGCTGATTTGGATATAAACCCTTAAATGTCATCTTTAGCTAAATCCCTTGCCTTAACCTCACCTACCTTTAGGTGAGGACAGTTTAGAAAAACAGTTGAGGCATATTTCCACCCTAAGCCTTTAGAAGATTTAGTGAACCGGGTTCCAGGCTATGTCTGAAGCTGAGGTTTCATGGAGAATAGTGAGGACCCCAGAGAATACTCAAGGGTAGATTTCAGGAGTCTCTCAATGTCATCAAAAAACTATTTGCAATGGACTTTTCTTCCGAGAAGAGGATCCATTGAGTCTATGAAATTAAGAGGATCTGTGATCCCTAAATACTCTGATGTGCAGATAGATAAATGCTCAAGCTGATCATTTTGGAGGGATTTAAGACGTGGCAGGAAGGAGCCCTCCTTTTTCCTATCCTTCTCTTCATAGTTCCTTTCAGGGTACCAAAAGGTAAGAAAGAAAAATGGCGACAACTAGAGAGGAAAAAGACAATTACAAGAACATGGAAATGCAAGTTTGTTTAACTGATGTCTGATTCAGAACTTCTCATGTGAACCCAAGTATTTGGTTTTCAATTCTAAAGAGATCATGTTTCCTAGATTGAAAACATAAAAAAAAACCAAACACACAAAAAACAAATCAAGTTTTCTCCAACGTGTTCTAGAAAACCACTTATTTTAGGTATTATAGTAGAAAGTTACTAGGCTTGTCTAAGGAACTCAAATTAATCTAGCTTTACTCAAAATATTGTTGGTAAGTATAATAAAAATAAGGGCTAAACTTGTCAGTGAGGTGATGTTACATTAAAATACAAATCTGCTCCTCTTGTTTAGGTAGAACAGTCCCAGAATTGGCAACTAATGATAACGTGTGGGAATAAATAGAACAAGTGTAGAAAACAGACATCAGAGTTTACCTTCCCCATCAAGCCATTTGGATTATGGCTTTAGGCATATATCATAACAAATATGTTAAGAAATCTCTTGTGTGATACATGTGTTTGCAATATTTGTGTTATATTTTAATCCATATACTTTGCTAATAAAAATGCTAGACTTTCTACATGACAATATTGTAGATGTGAAATGAAAGCAAAAATGCCTTGAGGATTTTCTTGCATTTAATTTATAAGAATTACAGATTTTATTAATTATTCTTTTTAGTTTTCACAGTTCTGGAGCCCAAATTGACAGCTGAGAAGTTGCATTTGATTTTCAAATGGATGACAGACACCAAAGACGGTCTGACTAAAATAGTGAGGGAGAAAGCATAAACATATGGGACTGATGCTTGTACTTAAGTTTAACGCTCTCTCTGTTTCAAGGAGCAATGCTTTAGATTCATGTAGTGTATTCATAGGCCAGACACACAGACCACAGACATTTTAATCTTAGAATATCAATGATTATGAATCGTCTCTATGCCTGCTTCTGGAAAGTAAGCAGTTTTTTTTTTTTTTTTCCTTGAAAATAGCAGGCATCTCACTAACTCACTTAAAATCTGTAAATGACTTCCAATTGTGCTATAGATATATAAATCCAGCCATAAAATGCCCTTGGTGATAAAGTTAGTCATTCAAATATATTAAACCAAAGAAAACCCCAGAATCTCACCACCCCCTCTTATGACAATGAAGCTATACCCCCATGAATACAGCCTATTTTCAGAACTTAGGAGGCAGCTCCAAAGAGTTATTTGGTCACTATGTTGCCTCCACACATATATCATCAAAATGAAAAATCTAAAAAGCCCAGAATATAAAGTTTGATAACTGTTGGATCAAATGACTTTAAAAAGTTTCTAAGAAACTTCAAGATCTATACTTACTTGCCAAATGTAATTTTTCTCTTAAGCAGTCACTAGAAAGTTTATAAGACTCTCTTTCAGTTAAAATAAATTAAAGGAGCCAAAATACTATGTAAAAACACATAGGAAACATTAAAGAAAACAAAACTTACTTTTTCTTAAAGCCGCTTCTTCCTGTAATTTAAACAGTATGAAAGGAGACTGTATGATGATTTCTTTTTCCTTTAACACATTCATATGTCAACTCCAAAAGGAACAGAATGAGCCACCAGAGCTATCTGAGGGGCCCTCCTAATTGCAGCTTTTTCAACTTTGTAGAATAAAATAGGAGAGTTAGTTGGTCTCCTCCAAGTCTTGTGACATGTGCACATAGCTGACTCCTACTGGGTTGAAAAAACACTTCTTGTCAATTTTACTGAAGACTGTGAGGAACAAGTTCTCTGCAGGACATCCTTAAAGGGCAATCCTGTCAGGATTAGTATTTGAAATATCTGGATAAGTTCCAAAAAGTTTAAACTGCAGACTACACCCACAGATACATACACTTGAGAAATTCCCACTACCTAGGCTAAATTAAGGGCACATTTAAATTAAAATTTTTTTTAAAGGATAATGAATTTTCTGTTTCCTTGATTAGTCTGTTTTTGTTGTTGTTGTTGTTGTTTTCTTTGTTTTCTGGTGAATATCAGAACCCTTCTTTTAGGTCAGAAATGAATGAACTACAGAGATTTTCTGTTAAACTATCTGGAAAGAGATGAGGCCCCATTTCTTACCTGCAGTTTTTGATAGCTTGAGAGATGACCTTTGGGTTGTGGCCTCTATCACTGCCTTCTTGGGAAATTTGGGAACTTTGAGCCTTGGATTTGACTCAAGTAACTCAAGATTGTTACCTGCTTCCTGCACCTGCCATGTGGACTGAGCAGTCCTTGCTCCTGTGTATTTCTCTATGAGCTGACAGCAATTGTTATGTCATATTCATGGCTGTATGACTTCATTTAAGCACAGACTCATCTAGTCTTTTGAAATTTTCAATTTAAAACATGAAAAGTAACTAGAGATTTCAAAAGTTGGATCTACAGAAATGTTTGAGTATTTAACTAATCCCAAACAGGAATTCTTAGTGGGTCAAACTGATTCACAAAGCAAGTGATATTTGCTCCTAGAATCTCTCTTTGAGGCTATTTCTTTGGTTTGTAAGGTGGAGTGAGAGAGGAAATGTTCTGTCTTAACTCCATTTGTTCCCAGACCAAACTCAAACTGTTCTTATTCTAAGTGCTAAAGGAATGATATATTAATATTTTCTGAGGTCAAACTCAAGTGTATACAATAAAAAAAGTTGACTAGGGAAATGCAAAGCCAACCAACTCTATGTTTTACTGTTCACCTGACTTTGATAATTAAGATATTATGAAAATGAAAACATGGTGACTAGCATGAACAAATTGATTCAGTGAAAGGACACAAGTACATTCAATTAGTAAAATAGATTTTAATCCTCATGATGCCAGTGCTAGACAGGCATTAATTTTCTCCTTTTATAAGTGAGGAAGTGGAGTCCGGGAGATAAAAAATTGCCTAAGTCCCCATCTAGTTATGGGGCTATTACTCTTTTTGTTTACATTTATGTTTCCTGATAGGCTAATCTACATTCACTGATTCAACTTCTGATCCTCTTCCCTCTTCAACCCACTGCAATCTATCTTCCACTTGAAGAACTCCACCAAAAAATGCTTCATTAAGCTCATAAAAGATCTTAATTAGCACCCCAAAAGAGCACTGTCTTTAATCTTACCAGAAATTTCTCATCTTTAGCCATTTCAATAATTTTTTTTTTAAATTCTCTTTTCTTTTGAAAATTCTTTTCCTTGGTTCACTAAGCTACACTCTTGATTTCCTCCTTGGTCTTGGATCCTCTGCCTTCTCTCCCTTTATTCACCTCATCCTTTTCTAGAGCTTCAGACAGTCTTAACAGGAGTTAAGACAGAACATTTCCTCTCCCTGAGAATGCTTCTTCTTACACTCTCCATGGAGTGTAACAACAGTTAACAATTATATATTATGACTCCCAAGCTAATATTACTTTCTATTCTCAACTGATATTACTCTCTAAGGTCCTAAACCTGTATCCTGTTGTCTGTTGGCCATTGTTGTCTAGAGTTCCCCAGGTATCTCAAACACATATAAAGCTCTTCATCTTCTCCACATTCCAAACCTGTTAGTCCACTGTATTTCCCATCTCAGGGCTTGGCACAATCATCCAACTGGTCAACTCAGATTCCTACCTTTCCTCACTTATTCTCCACCATTCATCCCTAACTTCTGTTGGTTCTACTTTTATTAGCTCTCAAATTTCTCATCACCCTGCATTTCCTCACTTGGATTGTTGTATCAATCATTGAACAATAGGTTGCCTTGGTCTGGTGCCCTTCTATCATTTCTCTTTATCACTATAAAACAATATTTATTTAAAAATGTTTGTCAAATTATAAAATACATGCTGCTTGCAGAAAATCTGGAATAAGAACTGAAAAAGATTTTAACAATTTAAGATGACTTTCATTCCAAGAGATAGCCATAGCCCAAATCTTCATCCAACTCTCTTCAGATATTATGTATGCATGTATACAACTATACAAGAAAATGTTTCTGTAAATGTTTTTATGCAAATTTGATAGTTACATATTAAATTAAAAAACCAAGACCACATTGCATATAACTCTGTATCTTTTTTACTTAATATACTGTGATTTGCTAAATCAAGTAAATATTTTTAAGGTGGTTGTGAATAATGGCTGCAATATAATGAAATACATTATAGGCTAGTGCTCCCTCTCTCTCTCTGATTTGTTTTCTTCAACACCAAAAGTTACCTTGAGCATTTATAATGTATGAATCACAAAGACTTAGATTTAAGAGGGAAAGAAGGAAAAAATATAGAACACTCGTTTTATGTTCATTTACATTTATCAGATACTATTTAAACAAATATATTTTATATTCTGTGTCATGCCTTCAAGCAGTTATCTAAACTGTAAGTCTATATAATAGGTTAAAGGCTACATTTTAGGTGAGTAAAGAGAAGCTCGGTAGGAAAACAATTTGATAAAGTGCTTTCTCTTCTTTACATTGAATAACAAGAAACAAGAGTAAACCTTTGGCACCTTTGTCTTAGCTTCACTAGTCAGATAGGGGGTTTTTCTTGGTGGACTAACATTTGAATAAACATAATTATTTCAGGGCCTAGCAGAGTGCCACCTTTCTATGCAAGATCTGTTGTCCATGTTTCTCTTCTACTAAAGGCTGGGGAAAAGACCTCTCTACACATTTTTAAGTCCACATTTTACTCTTCAGAAAGGGGATACATTATTTCACAAGTATATACATTTTAAAAGATTTTGGTTAATTGTCAAACTGCCTTCCAGAATGGGTGACCTTTCTAAAAGACAAGTCTAATCACCTTATTTCATTGGTTAATGGAATCTTTAAGCCTCTCTTAAAGGATAATGTTTAAATCTTTCAGGATAATGTTTAAATTTTTTAGTTTAGTGTAAAAGGTATTTCATGATTCCCCTCTGGTCTCTCCAACTTCATCTTACACTACTTTCCCAAACCATTTATTTCTCATACTTTAGGGTTTTTCAAATGTCTCATTTCATATTAACTCATACCTTAGTACTTCTGAACCTTCTTTCCTCTTTCCAGAAATGCCTGCTTCCTTTTCCCTATTTTCGCCAGGGTAGTGTTGTTTTTCCTTCGGGACTCATTTCAGGTCATCTCTAGTCTGCTCAATTCCCCACCCAGCTGTGCAAGGCAGTTTGACTTTCATTTCTTCTTCCACAAATTCCTGATTACTTCTCTCAAAATACTACCTGTATTAAACTATAATTGTTGAATTTTGCCATTTTTATGAAAGCAAGGCATATTTTTAAGATTTACATTAGTTCTCCCAATAGCTGTCATACAGGATCCAGATTGTTGAATCAAGCATTTAAATTCCCTATCCTCCCTTTCTTCCATTACACCACAACATAATCCCTTCCTTCCTGCTCTTAAAATACATATCCAGGTTAAGTTTTATTACTAATCACTGAAGAGAAATAGATGTTAAATAGAAGGAGGCCTGGTAAAACAAATATGACACAACACTGAGAACTCATAAAAATTTAATATGTTTAGTTATTCCATTTTTCATGATGTAAATGGAATAAACACTGTGATTCTGAAAGCCTGAAAGTCAGGGTCTCGTTCTTAGATGGTTTGGAAGAAGTGTCTCCTGAGTTCTATTTATTCTTTTGTTTTGCTTAGGGTGACCTTCATGGTAGAGCAATTTGTATGACTTTGAGGGCTATTTTAATAGCCACTTTAGTAGTGCTCCCAGATTTCTGTGGAAAATGAATCTTCTAGAGGTTATGTTTTTATTTATTCTTCCATATACACTGGGGTAAAGGAATCATTGGTATGAGTCAAATAAAGCAAACCTTCCATCGTTCCCACTCCCTGTCCAACTCACATTTTCTTGATAGAAAAAAATCCCATTTGACCCTGGGTTGAATGGCATTTTTGAGGAAGAAATGAACTGTTTGTTCCTTCCCAACCTACAGTATGGACTATATATACTTCAGATACTAAAGTACATTCTCTGAAAGGTTCGCGACGGTTCTACATTCAGGTTAAACAACTTCTACATTTATTGTTTTAATTTAGCAGTAAGGCCTTTTGAAAAAATACATTGTGATTTTGATAAGATATGCCATTCTTCATCGAATCTTTCTGATGGCCAGAAGTGGGTTTCCTTGATTTTTCAAAAACACATGGTCTAGAGATGAAACACATGAACATGAATACCCAGGCATGTTATTCAAGTATCTCTATTGTATCTGCAATAGAAGGAAGAAGCAGATAAGAGTATAACTGTACATTTGCTGCAATTGAGCTAAATGAAAATGTTTACTAAGGTGAAATGGTTTATGAATGGCAAACTTTCATGAAATGAAACACACCGAAGACTATGGAACTATTTTCATGTAAGAAAAATAGAGTAAAATGTTCAGAGTTAAGAATTAAAAGTGTAAAAACGTAACCCATAGATCAATTAATCCTAGTAATAATTAAAATAATGGAAGCTTCAAAGTACCAGAAACTTTATTGAAACAAGAGGCAACTTTATTTTAAATAACATTCTTAAATTTGCCCATTAAGATCATTTAACAATTATTTAACATTTAACAATTATTTTATTAATGAAATTAGATTTTTACATACAAAATCAGCTATATAATTTTATTTACAAAAACAATAAAAAACTTTTATTTACTGTGAAAAAATAAGAACCATTTTGATAAATGAAAATATTTAATGCAAAGAAGAGAATGGTTTTCTTTTTATTTGCTTCATCATCTCTTCTATTTTTATTTTCACAAATTAAGAAAGTCTGAATGTTTTTTTGATTATCTTTGATCTAGTTTGACAAAAGATATGGATTACTTTGGTACCTGCTGAAACATAAAGTTCTTAAGACTGAATAAAAAAATTATGTTGGTGTTTAATATTTTGGAAGCTGAATAAACAAATAAAACTAATAGAAGTTTGTGGTCACAGAGGATTTGTCATATTTCTTTTGTTGCTCATATGAAAATACATTAATAAAAAATTACCAATGAAAAAACATTTTAAAATTTGTTACATTCCTATCAATTTTAATAATTAGTCTGCAATTATATAATTCCTTTCACTCAGTATTAACTCTGCCTAGAATCAGAGGTAGACTGATCTTTGTATTCACACATTTTAAAACAGTTTTAAATGCCATATAAGGAATTATATAAAATAGTATGTTTTTAATATTTGAGATTTGATTTACTGTTATAATCAAGTTAAATTCTTTTTTGATATGTAATAAATTGTTGCTTAAAACTCATTAAGTTCAATTGATTACTCCAAAGAATTATTTTGGTTTTAATTTGTTTAGTTTATTTAGTTTAGTTGTAACTACTAATAATCTTTAGAAAACAAGAATACCTCTTTTTAAAAGGATTTCAGTTTTTGAAAAAAAGAGTTTCAGTGATTTAAATGTACTTATAAACCACCCTACAACAATTAGGTGCTAGAGTGACTACTGATATATTAAATGAAATTTAGAAATGCAACCTGGGTTAAAGAAAAATATTTGCACAAAATTTTTAGTTATCTCAATGTTAAAATGTGACTTACGCCTACTAGCAGTGTTTTATTTTTTCTCTTACTCTTGTTAGCATCTTGTTTTAGAATAGAGCTCCGCTAGGTGTTCTTCTGCATCCCTTAAGCCCTCAATCACATAAATTTACTTCTGTGGAGGAGACGGGATAATCTGCCAGAAATAACGGCAAGGTGATAAAAAATATATGTATACATATTTTGCAAATTTCTATATTTTAAGTTTGAAGCATTCTCTATTAATTTTAGAATAAAATATGCAATTTTTGGTTTTGAAATGTGGAGAGTTTTTTCTTTTTTTTTTAAAAAAGACCACTTTTTAAGTTTCTAATATGTATAAATATAATAATGTTGCTTGAAATCTAATAACACAACAAATGAGCTCTTTTCTAGAAATGAAAGATATCAGGAAATTTATTCTTCACTCAGCAGCTGGAAAGAAAATAAACCTAAAATATATAATTTTTAGAAATATAATGTCAAAAAGAAATCTGTGGAGAACACAATTTACAAAAGTTTGCATTTTTATAAGATTTACATTGAATATAATACTACTGTTTTAACAAAATTGTGTGTGTGGGAGGGGCTGGTACAGGGATCAAGGATTATGAATATATTTTTTTTAAAACCACTCACCACTAACTTTGGGAAAATATTTTCTATATGGAAAAAGTAAATTAATATTATTACTCTTCTGTAACAGATGATTTTCTGGATTTGAGAACAAGGTCTTTAATAGATGAAGAAAGTTCTTGAAGCTCTTTACGAGTAGTACTGGTGATATCTTCTTGTTCTTTGTCTAATTCATCACTCAAGGGATCATCTCCTGGCCCAGTCTTCTTATTTTGATTAACTAAATGCTTTACAACCAAACCTTGATACTTAACCAAAAGAGTATGCTGATCCTGTGAAAAGAGAAAGGACTTAACAAAACAAAGTAGGATTTGTTCGACCAATACACATTAAAGGTTTTCATCTTTACAAATCATAGGCCATACAGGTAGAAAGCTGAATCAAGCAAGGTCCTTGCTCTCAAGGAGTTTACAGTTTAGGAGAGAGAAAACACAAATACAGATTATTTTAATAGTTGATTAAGCTAGGTTCTATCATCAAAGATATAGTCAAAGTGCTATGGAAGTTCAAAGAAGCCAAAATTACTTTTAGCTGGAGTTTCTCAGAAGAATTTATGTAGAATACGACTTTTTGAGCTTGCCCTAGAAGGAGAGTTAAACCTGAATAAACTGAAATGGAAGACTGGACATTATTATGACTTTTCTGAAAGCTTAATTTCCAAATTCATAATATCTTGACCATAGATCTTATAGGACCCTAAAAGATTCTTGAGCTATACTGAGTTTTTAAAATCAGTCTCCCAATTTGCTGTTCAATTCATAGGGACAAGAAAATGATGTTAATATGTCTTGGTGTTCACAATGATTCATATCTATCCATTTAAAATATTCAGAATCTAAAAGCTTTAAAAGCTTTAAGTGCATTGAAAATGTAATACCTCTGGAATTTTATTACTAAGAAAAGCAATGATCTGAGGGACACATCTTCCAGGTGCATGGAGCATGCTGTGGGTTGAGAACTGAAACAACAGGACTGAAGTGAGGTGCAGAATAAGAGCAGGGTCTTCTGTGACTTTTAGCTGTTCAGCCAATGCTTGTCGATGCTGGAATAGTATCTGCCTAAACAAAAATAAAAACACACAAATTTTCACCAATTTCAGTTCTTCCCTTCTGTATTCATTTTTGTCTTCTCTAGTTTAATTAACTAGTTCTATAAACATTTCAGGGGACTTTTTAAATATGGGATATAGACATACATAACCCTAAATGGCATGGATAAATAAATACGCTAGAAAATGATAGAAAAAACAACATAGCAGGGATACTCAAAGTATGCTTTTTATTTTGAGTTGCTGGGGATCAAATAGAAGTACACTGATTTAAACACGTTTCTTATAAAGAAGGTCTCAAAGCTAATAAAAAGTTCCCAGGCTTGAACAACTATGGGGTTAAGGAACTCTGCTACCTAATCAAGACAGGTCAGAGAGAAACAGTGAAGAATATTAAGACTAAATATACTTGAAAGTCTACAACCATTTACATACAACAGTTATCTATGCAAGATTCAGATAGTCATATTCCATTTCAGACATGAATTATAACACATCTTAGAATTTATTAATATGGATTAATTCAATGTTACCTTTCCCTTTTTTTGTCTCCCCTTTTTACCATAATATCACAAGTTTCTGCTGCAGAATCCAGACAAGAAAGAAAGTCTTCTATGCTCTGAAAAGGTATTTAATACAATTTACTTTTATAAACAGGTTGCCTAAAGAACTGCAGCCATTTAATACTGTTTTATAATTTTATACCTGAAATATAATTTTTAAATAAGGTAATTTTTTCATTAAATTTGAAATTATAATTTAGGACTTTAAATTGTAATTTAGGACTTTAAGAAGATAAATTGCCTCCAGCTTGGCCTACCCCTTCACCTCCCAAAGAGGTATCTGAATATACTTGAAAGATAGTGCAGAATACTAGTTTTAGATTTGGTTTATAATTATTTTGATAAAAATTTACTCAAAGATCACAAATTCTAGCTCCAATATCTAATAGAATCAAACTTTACTTACCTTTTCATTCAGGGAGCTATGGAGTTTTGTGAGGGCTACTTTAGTTTCTTCTGATAATTTACTTAAAATTTTTTTTCTTCCCTATGGGGGGAAAAATTCTTTAGGTATTGTATCTTTAACATGTGGTGGATATAAGGACAAACAAAATGAAACAAAAAAAGTATACTTATTACTATAACGGAATGTTGAATGGAATTTATCTTTGTTCTTGAATTTTAGGTATTGCACTATAAATCTGTTCCCCATTCTAAGGAATAAGCTAAATTCTCAGTCTCTAAAGTACTATAAAGATGATGTATTAAAAAAAACTTTTTATGCTAAAAACATTCTCAAATCAGAGTTAGCCAAGAGTCAGTCAAAGAGGCTAGATGAAGCCCTACTCCTCCTATCTGCTTCAGAAGTATAAAAAGAAAATGAGAGGATGAAAAAAAGAGAGAGGAGAGAGTGTGCATGCACAAGTGTATTCTCTTTAGAAATTAGATTAATTCTCTTTATAATTAGTCTGAATATTGAAATGAGATAGTGTCAATAAATGAAAATGACTGCAAAGTTATAAAATCTGGCATGAACATTGTTAAGGGGATTGCAACTCAGTAGGAAAAAGAGATGCGACATAACAATAATTAGAGAAAAATAAAACGGTTGATTCCAAAGTAATTAAGCATCGTAACTTTTAATAGACTGCTTATATTATCAATCTGACTAGGAACTATATATAAATTGTACTAAATTTGGCCTAAAAATCTTATATTTTTCCAAAAAACTCTTTCCTGTATTTTCTTTCCCTTTTATACTGTTTCAGACGTGAAAAAATAAAATATGCTCAGGTCGCAAAACAAAACACATCAAGAGTGGCAAAGCACTAACATACTTCACTTGTAATGGCTGCAGGATCGTCAACTGCCATCATTAAATCCGAAGCTAAGAAGTTGAAAATGAGATTAGTGACATCAGTACATACAGTCTTTAGCAAATGCTTGGTAAGAGCAGTCTGTGTATCATCTGAAAAATAAAGGTGCTTTATTAAAATGAATGTCCAAGAAAAATTATGAGTATCAATAAATAAACAAATAGTATTAAGTATACCTGTAAAGAACTTCAGCCCTTTTTCAAATAATCGAATATTATTGTATAGGTTTGAAACTTCTTCTTGCAAGTCCTTGATTGTGCGCTTTCTGCCAGTTCCAGAGGCAGAAGTTGTTGAAGACATGAATACTGAACGTACCACCTCGAGGTAAATTTTATTAAGGGGTCTGTGCACAAAATAAATACATTTAGTTTATTAAGGCATACTGGATTTACATAGATAAAAAAATATTTTCTTCTATGGAAATAGACTTAAGAAAAGATCTCTACTTTTTTAAATAAATAAGATTAATTTGGAGAATACTTCACAAGAATTTGTCCTCCAATCTCAGGAATTATAACTTAGATGGATTATTTTTCTCAAATGTAAAGTACTCAAAGTTACTGCACTAAAGACAATAAAAATCAACGATAACAAAAACTTCAAATTCAACTCAAAGCAGCTTTTAATAGTTAATCTGGAGAATAGTAAACTATAAATCTGTTCCCCATCCTCAGGAATAATAACTTAAATTCTCAATTTCTAGAGAACTATAAAGATGTATTTGAAAAAACCTTTTTTATGCTTAACTCAGAAAAGATTATTTAAAGAAGTAATGGCAAATGATTAGTAGTTATTTCATTTTTTATATATGAAAATGATTATGTAATAGATTCATGCACAAAAAATATTCTTAAAATTTTAAAAATCTCACTACAAAATCTAAATTTCTAAATTCTAAAAGTTGGATGCACTGGGCTCCTGGATTGCATTTACAGCAGCTTACGCATTGGGACTAACTTGTGGGAAGACCACGTTAGTTAGTTATAGTCAAGTTAGACACAGTATCATTGACTTCTGTATAAAAATAAATTTAGTCTGGCTCATTTCAAGTTAGTGCTGTCTAAATTTATTCTCTTCAAAGGCAGTCTGTTACTTTATCCTTTCCCAAAAAGTGTACTATGTCAAATCTTGATAGAAAATCATATCTTCTTCCTTTTAGATGTTACTTTTCATGCTATGGAAGAGACCAGCCAGTCCCACTAGCACTGTAAGGTCAGCAAATGAAGACATCTCTACATTCTCCTCTTTCATTTCCCAAAGCACTTAAATGTTTGTTGAAATGCCTCTGTAGGCAAAGAAAGTCTGGAGTTTGGTGGCTAGATTAAATTCTAAGCTTTGAAAAGAAAATACCTAATATATATTTTCTATCATCTTGGTAAAAATTAGTAAATTTTTATTTACTAACTCACTGAATTTATATCATCAAACAGAAAAAAAAGTTTTTATACTTGCTTTATTAAGTACTCAGCAAGTTCAGAAATAAACTCCTCAGGGGCATCTTGCACGTGTTTTCTTAAAAAATCTTCAATCTCATCCTGGAACATAAAAGTGATCTCTGGCTTCTTCTTTCCTGTAATAGAAAAGAGCAACGAGTAAAAAACAATAAAAAACAAAACAAAAAATGAGCAACCTAAAAGCAAATAACCTTCCATTAACAAATTTAATAAGTTGGTAATTCATTCACTGCCTACCATAAAGACTGATATTTTATGTCAACAAAATTGCCAATGTCAAATAACAATAACCTATGAAAACAATTTTAAAAATAGGATATACAGTGGCATTTCACATAATAATTTTCTAACTTTATTTAATGAATATTTTCTACAGGTCATTCAGAAAATAATAAAGATGATTTTCGCTTGATCTAACTTGGATGATGCAAATATTTAGAAATCAAAATGATCAAGTGGATGGAAAAAATCTTTTAGGAAAGGATAAATTCTCTTTGTTGAACAATGAATACTGAGCAGAATTTCCTTCTTATAAAAATAAATACTTAATAAAAATCAAATCATCCTTAGAATTTATACAAAATCTTCAGGAAAAGTCTTTATAATTGTGTGAACCACAACTCAAGTAGAATTAAGCTAAAAATTATCGTTTTGCAAAAGCAGAGATTAAAAAAAAAACCCTCATAATTTTATACCCATAATTTATTTTTGCTCTCATGAAAATAATCCTATACCAACGAAAATTTGTATGCAGCAATTGTAATGGAAATCACTGTGGAAATATTATGTCTACTCATTTACTTGGAAAAGTACAGATTACAGATAAAGCTAGCAATCTCTTCTTTATTAATTATAAAAGTATGAAAGTAATTATTTCCAGCTAAATTAGGTACTCACTTTAAAAATGAAACTTTAGAAAAGAAATAAAAATAAAATGGCTCAAAAATCATTTTTCCCTATGCATCAAGACGTAAGAAGTTGAGATCACAGTTTTAGAATAGACGAGTATTCTTTTTTGAGATTGGCTATCCATTCCTGATATTTCAAACCATATAGTTTCTGACTTCTGTTTGCTTCCTATAGCATTTAAAGTTATTACACTGCATTTCCTTCTAATAATCTTTTGCCTTGAGTTGATCCTGTATTTTAGCTGAGAACCTAATTACATCCCCCATTTCAGACATTATAACAAAACCGTTTTTCAAAAGCAATGAAATTACTTTTTTTTTTTTTTAGGTAGAATGGCTTTACTATACTTTTATAGCCCCTCTCCATAATCTATGTACAAAAGGAGTATTGCATGCCTCATTTAATAATTACTCAAGGCCACAGATATTAGAGAAGTTTTTTCTTAAATGAATCTTCACTCCTATTCCTACGGCATCTGAAGAACAGGGAAACCCATTTATCAATGAAAAGTTAAAACTCACATAGGATAGTCTTAATACTATTTAAAGTAAGGGTAGAGCTAGGAATTCCTATGAAGGTAGTTTTCCTTTGATTAGTATTGTTTTGTGGACGAGAACAGCAGTTATTTTTATCTTAGAATCTACTTTAAAGATAGATCTTAAAACAACTGTGTTATTACAAGTAGTAGCACATTAATAGCCAAACCTATGTCATTGATATCTATATCTCCCAGCTCTAACCCATATATAATGAACTGTGGAAAGTAGAATAAAAATTTCAAATTATCATCATTTCAAATTTTCTTCCCCCGCCCCCTCCTCCCCCGCTAGGGAAAAGGAGGTAGGTATCAAAAATTAAATTAATTTTTTAAAAAATAGAAACATAAAATATCATAATTTTATTTAGAAAAATAAAGTAAGATGTCTCTTGCTATCTTAACCACACCAAATACTAACAAGCATGAGAAAAGAAAGATTAATATACTTAATTCTCCCCTTTAGATAGAAGCCACTAACCAATTAGGTATTACCCATAAAAATTAAACACGTATAAATTAATGTTTCCTACTTAAATTTGCAGAAATACACATTTCATAAAATATTATAATTTGTTTTGCAAAGCAGTGGGAGACCATAAAAATGACCATGCAAGCTGAAACTATGTGATGTGTTTTTAATAAACAATGGAGAAAATTTATGATTGTTCTGTGACTTTTTAATGTTTATGGAAACATTAAAAGCTGTTACTGGTGGTTATAAATAATGGGAAAAGAGAAATAAAACTAGTATTTATAATTTAGCACACTATAATTTAGCTCATCAGAAACACTGACAATGAAAGTGTTTTATTTCTTTGCAAAGAACTTATCAAGAATAGTTTGAACAGTGCTTGCCTTCCCCTCACCCTTGCAATACAAAGCAATTTTACTATGCCTTGGCAAGTCATCATACGCCTTTTTTAACTCTAGATCAGCTTCTAATATTTAATCCTTTGCCCTTTCCATGTCATGAAATACCTCTGAGAATACTTTTAATAGGTAGTTTTTTGCCAACTTCATATCCCATAAGACATTTTCACCCTTTTTGTCACAACCACTTTCCTCATTTACATCAATAAGTGCGCTTTTACCAAGTTCCTCTTGCTGTATAGCTAGAGTCCCCTGAATAGTGGCAATGTCAACATTCCCACAGTCAGCTACTTTTTCTATAACTCCATTTATTCTTGATTCATATTTTATTTCCAGTGTTACCACTTTTCATTTACTTGCTACACTTTCATCTTAGTTGGCCAATTTCATCTTTTGATTATCCATTGTTGAAAAATGTCACATGGATTTATCACTGGGAAACAAGAAAGCAACATAACTACATGCTTTGTTGTCTGTGCATAAAGTGAGTAAGATATGCTCAATGATCAATTGCTGACAAACTTTGAAATGAATAATGTGATTGTTATAGATCGTGATGCATATCTGTTATTTATGTGATAATTTGTGGGCTGAGAAGCTAACAGTGAAGTTAGTACTTTATACAATTACAGTTAATGTACCCTAGTAATTGAAATATGAACCATGTTGTTGGAGGACTAATGTCATTTAACCAAACTGTCGTAACTAAAATTTATGCTCACCGAAACTGTGCAAAGCAAGGACTTCCTGTATAAGCATATATACCTAACTGTATGCATCTTAAGAAAGTATGTTAAAAAAATCATGCATGTGCAAAGGAAGAATAAAATACTACTAACCAGTGTGAGATGATTCATCATCACTGTCATCATCTTTTCTTCCTTTCTTCTTGATTTTTTTAATTTTGTACTCTCTGGCATTGCTACCACCTCCTCCTCTCACACTCCCACTGCCCTCTGGTAGAAAATGTCATTAGTTAGTATTTCTTAACTTACTACTTTTTTAGAAAATGATGACATTATATTGTCATATTTAACTTTACAGCACAAAAATAAAAGCCAAGTAAACTTTTAGCCACTTTTTAAAGTCAAAGCTTCTTTATTAAAATAAAAATTTTATAAATTCAATCAATAAAAAATTAACAAAATATGAAATCTCTTAAATTTTATCAACTCAGGCAGCCTACCTGCAGTAAATGTAGTCTCTTCTTCCTTCTCTAATGACACTTCTTTTTTGTAGCTTTGTCTGACTTCTTCTTGGCCAAACCAATTTCCTTACCTCAACTTTTCTACCTTTCCCAAAATAAATGTGCCCTCATTTGCTCATCTCTGTTACCACAGCCTCATATGCCCTGTTACAGTACTTCACAAATTTAATTATACTTGGTTTTGTCTTATTGGTTAAAAAATGATTACCTATATTTACAGGAGACATTCTGATTCTCTCCACCACCCAACAAGATAATATGGTGGAGAGTGACTGTGTCTATCATTCTGGGTGGTTATGGAGGCCTCTCTGAGAAACTGACATTTAAAGTTGATCTCTGAATGACAAGAGGGAACCATTACTTGAAGTTCAGAGGAGTACATTCCCGGTAGAGGAAACAGCTAGTGCAAAGGCCTTGAGGTAAACTCAAACTTGCCGTATGAGAATCAAAATAATAAAAAAAAAAGGTTACTGGGCTGAAAAATAAACGCTGATGGGGAGAACAAGTGGAGATGGGCCACATCATAAAATTAACTTGGTTCTCACAAATAAAACACAGATAAGCAATTACTAATATTTCCATTTTTATAATCAAAATTTAATTATTAGCAAAAGATTTGGTTAATATTATCAGTTAAAGATAAATCAACTAAATAAAAGGGCTTTAAAAGGACCTAACAAATGTAGAGTTCACTACAACAAAAAACTCATCTTTGAATCTTATTTAATAATTCATTACCTGTTGCTTTCCTTCTTCGTTCATCTTTTTTATCCTTTTTACTTGTATTAATGTTTTCTAAAATAGAGACTTGTTTCAGATCTTCTTCAGTGATTAAATGAACAGGATTATTTTTCATTTCCTGAAATAAAACATGCTTTTTTGGTAGGCAAAAATATACAGTATTACAAAAAGCATAAAATAAAAGTTGTTTATATACTCACATCTTAATTGTTTGATTTCATTGCTAAGAATCAGAGATTCATCTCACGGTTGACACTGAGACTATTTCTCTTTGCCAAAAATTAGTTTTTCTTTGCTATTCATGGCTTTTTGTATTTATTATTAGCTACTAAGAAATCCTATCTGGTCAATGAACAACTGACCACACAGCATCAGATACTATCTATCTTTAAAACCAGCTGGTATTGGCTGGTTTTACCACCGCCTAACAGATGACCCTTGTTCTCTTTCTTTTTGAGACTCCCAAGTCCAGTGCCATACCTAGATACCTGAAATTCCTAGAAAGGTAAAATCGCCACACTCCCACCCCTCCATAATGAGCATATGTGAGTTGCACACTTAGTGATATAAACTTGTTTTCTCCCTCTGGACTCATTCTTGACCTCTGCTTTTAAAAATTTATGTTAAGAACAATAAACTATGCCCCAGTTCAGAAACTGTTTCTTTATCACAGAAAAAAGTTTTAAATCTGTAGTGACAAAAGTTCATATTCATGTTAAAAATGATTATTTATTTCCTTTTTGATTTTCAAAAATAACTGTTTAGAATGTTGACAGTTCAAACAACAGAATCTCTTTTCTTTCTGAATTTATTTTTGCGGTTGGAATGAGAAGCACAAGGAAATAAAAACTGATAACCATGTTAAGTTCTTATTTTAGCAAAAGGTCATAAATAAAAATAATAATACAGCCATTTAGTAAATGGAAGCTGACACGTATCAGAGCATTTTATATGCATTTTTCCTTTATTTACATTTAATCTTTTCGAGAGCAGGCATCACCAACCTTTCTCTGAAGATGAGGAAACTGGAAGTTTATTTGTCCAAAGTCAAACAGAGAGTAAACAAGTTGAGACTAGAGCTCAGGCTTGCTGATATCAATCCTGTTTACTTTTTACTCCTCTCTGCTGCTTAGCAGCCCAAATGAGAAAATTATCTCATTTTTTTTAGACTGTTAAAGAGCTTTAAAGGAATATAGATAAATACGAATTATTTACATATTTAATAACTTCTCATGGATTAGCAGTCAAACTAAGACAAATGGGCTTGTTTTACCTATTCACTGCTAACTAGCAACATGAGTTGAGTATGTCTCTACTTCTAAACACTTTGACAGCAGTTGTTCTGAGGAACTAATCAATTTTGATAGTAACAAACACTTTCTTTCCTCAGTAATTTATCTGGTTTGTGCACCCCGGATAGGTTAAAACTAAGGAGACTGATAGATTATGTAAATATATTATGTGGTGATTGATAAACTGTATATTTATGCATATAATCCAAAAATATTGTTTTTGTGGATTTTAATGTTGGATCAATATACTCAGGTGACTGAATTGTGAAGTGTATAGTTTCATTTACGTGAATTCGATTCACAAATTCAGCTCCCTAAGTTCTAAATCACATGTCCTGATGGGAATGAAGAAGGAGAAAAATAAACCCAAGAGAGGAAATAAAAAGGAATGATGCAGTAAACGAAAATGACGTATAAAACGCAGTGTTCATTTTTGGGTATACAGCTTACCCTACTTTTCAAAAGACACCAGAAGTTTCTAACGTGAAAATACTGTTAAGATTAGTAGGTAAAAGGAAATCTGGCATACCTTTTCAGCTTTTTGGTGCATCAGTTCACTGAACAGTTCTGTACAGTCATTTATAAATTTTTCACTGACTACAACAGTGTCACTAAAGACTACAGCTGAAGGCTGTTTGCTAAATGCTCTCATTACTTGTTGAAGCAACATTGCAGCATCTTCAACTGATAAAGAACTGGGTAGCAGAGGCTAGAATTACAAACAAAATGAAAATAAAGTATTAATGCAATACAATACAGAAAACCAATTTATTATACATGTGCTCTCCCTAGATGATCTCACTAAATTCAATGGCTTTCAGGTAACCATCTATATGCTGATAACGTCCCAAATTATATTTCTGCTTTCTTCATCATTTTGAATTCTGGAATCCTATCCTACTGATTCCCTAAACTTCCTACTTGTATGGCGAATAGGCATCTCAAACTTACGTGTCCAAAACAATATTGATTTACATCACCATGCTCCCAGACATTGAGCTCCCATCTATTCTTCCCCATCATTTCTCCCATCGCAATTAGTGGTAATACTCTCTACTCAGTTGGTCAGGTCCCAAAACTACAAATAACACTCAGTTCTTCCCATAAACCTACAAACAATCGACCATCAAGTCTTGATAACTTTACCTCCAAAATATATTTCTTTTTAGCTCTTTCTAGTTTCTGAAATTATCATTTTCATTAACTATTTACCCCTAGTGAAAGTGCCCCTCCCTGAGTGCAGGAAAGTTACCTGGATACCACATTCCCATCAAGTAAAATGGTGCCTGGCACACAGAAGGCACTTAGTAAAATTTGCTGAATAAATAAACAAACAATTATATCTGGAATCTCTGGGAACTTGTGTATCCAAAATGAGGAATTTTCTGCTATATAAAGAGTCTGGGCCCTGACTGATAAATAATGAATTGGCCTCTTATTACATTCATTGCACTTACACTTATCTTTTTGGCATAATAAAGGCACATAATACTGTATGCTGAAGTAAAACACTGTCACTGCTAAAGCAGATTGTGTTAATATATTAGCAGAGATTAAAGGATAAGGGATAAACAAATGTGACACAATGCCTGATGCCAGTAAAGTTTTAAATGCTTGGATAAGACTGTGAGAAGTCTCATCAATTTCTGACTAATATGAGTGTTATATTGTTTGCTTGTTTGCTTTGAGATTTATAGAATTCTGGATGTTGACTATCCATATATAAAAAGCTAGAAAGCCCTACTTCAAAAGCTAGAAAATCTTTAAGCATAAAATAATTATTTTTGTTATAACAATGATTGCTAGAATTTGGGTCTAAAGCCAAGACTACCTTTATGTATCCTAATTCTCGAAATGGCCATATACTAGTGAAATATCAGTTGTCTTTGGTTTAAAGAAAAATTAAGAAGAAAAAAACATACTGAGATATCAACCCATGTTCCAGAGCTGATGGCTTCCTCTGCTGACGCTTCCACCTGATCCACCAGGCCCTGACCAACACAAGCTGCTTTCAAAAACAAGAGTTGTGTAGTCTTGTATCTTTTTTTTATGTAGCTCACAGCATCTGGGATTCCAAGTCTGGACAAAGCATCAAATTCTAAAAATATATCGTAAAGTAGAAACAGAGTTGTCAATTTTCACATTTTTCAGAAATCTTGGAAAAAGTTCTACCAAAACCTATTCTTTGTGAATGCTCTGTATTCTCTCTCTCTCTTTTTCTAATAATAAAGCATAGAAATGTACCACAACTATCCCCTGCTTATGTTACCTTCCCAAATTTTTATTACTAGACATATTTGTAGAAAAATTGGTTCCAGTATTTCCTCAATCCTAGCTGTGTTACTCCCTCTCCAACTGAGGGGTCAAAGGGAAACATGAGAACTATAGAGCAATAGAAGTAGAAAGGGGGGTAAAGGAGAACGCAATAATTTAAGTAAAGAAAAAACTAGAATTTATTTTGCTTATTACAGTTAAGTAAAGAAATGGAATTTATTTTGTGAATGTTTTATCAGGCAACTTAGGACAAAATAATTTTCCAGTCTAATTTAAATTAGTAAAAAAATTAGTATATAAAACAAAAGTAAAAAATGAAGACATAAATTTACAAACATTAAAGTTATTGGAGATACCTATGGTCCTCTTTCCATCTCCAAATAATTATATTTAAGAAAACTAATTATAACAAAGTTCTAATCCATGTCCATGGTTGAAGAAACTAAAAAGTACATTACAGAAAGTAAAGAAAATATAAGCCACGCCCAGTATTCCACCACGCATTTAAAATGTTTGAACACTAATGACTTACATACAGATTTATTAATGAGAAAGCATCTGATCTCTTATGTGGTTTGACTTGGGTTATAAAATTAAACTAAGTGAGTTATACATATTTATTTGCTAATTGTTTCAATATCTAAATTCAATCAACCTACTTTATCTGAATGACAGAACTTCAGAAACCAATTTTAGAATAAATTTAATGTCTCTGAAGTATTGGATAACCAATAAAAATGAACATTGTTAAGTTGATAACCAATAAAATATTTCTAACATATTGTAACTGAAAAACTGGGCAAACTTCATAAAATATAATAAATCTAATTACTTTTTATGAATTAAAAAAATACCTGAAGTTGTAATAGTATCATATCACTAAATGATTGGTAACAATCAATACCAGCTTTTGGCCTTTCTACAACTGTTCAATAACTATGGAATTATACTTAGCTCCAAGGTCCACAAAAATCTGCAGTGTGACGACTTTTACATTTAAAGACAACCATTATGATTTGCTGGATAACAATAAAATGCATGTATACTCCCAGGGCTAATACAAAACTTTTTAGAATGTTGTTAGTATTAAGAAGAAGTTTTAGTTTTAAAGAAAAAAAAAAATAGTTACCTAGATAGCCATTCTGCCTGAGAAAGGAATCCACCCAAGTACTCTGTGTTCTGGAGTAAATATCAGGGACAAACACCGCCTTATCCTGTCTCCCACCAACCACAGTGCCTCGTAAGCGTCCACTATTAACAAGTTCCTCAAGCACAGCTTAAAACAAAACCAAATGAAGAGAAATAAATCACAACAGGTATAAATCTCAAAAAACCTCCAAAATTTTACAAAATGTCACTGTATCCTTAGAAAGGCAATTTTAAGTTTAAATTGTGTAAATGAAGATATTATATTTTAAACAAAATTTTCCTGTCATTTATGAGAATATTCAGGTCATAAATTCAGGAAATTCTGGCAATCAGTAAAGGTGCTGAACTTGTAACTCAAACTAGTTAATAACAATTTTTAGTTTGAATAATTTTGGGGAAAAAAATGCCATTATGTATCTCATAATTTGTTTATAAGGGGATGACCAAATACTCTTGAGAACAGATAATATACAATCGCTAATGTCACCAAATTCAATTTTCTCATATTTAGAAAAATCAAGATACCTAGATCATATTAGAGTCAACTGTGTGAAATAAAGCCATGAAAATTTTTATGTTATTGCATTTCCACCGTCTAAATGGAATCAATACATTTTAATGCTACCTATAAGAGAAGTATAATGCCCTGGTTAAGAGGATAGATCTGGATGAAGGTAGCCTAAGCCCAAACCTCAACTCTATCATCTACTAGCTGACAAACACCAGGCAAGTCATTTTACTTATGTCTCCAAGTAAAATGCTTGAAACTGTAGCTGGCATATAATAAGCACTCCATAAATGTTAACTAAATATCATTACCACTACCATCACCACCATCAATATCAAAAGATTGATGCTGTTCTGAGAACTAGATAGTGCTGCCATTAACACCAAATTTATGTGTTTTATTTAAATGATAACATAAACTGCATATCAAAATCCCCTAAAAAAAGACAAAGCAGATAGGAAAGAATTATTTCTAAGTGTATCAACAAGCACATTCAAAATATGCCTGGTACAAAGAAGGCTTATGAAAATTAGCCTTTAACAGAAATAAAAAATAGTTTACATATGAATTTCAGAATTTCACTGCTGAGCAAATTAGAATACATTAGAAAAGTCTAGATTTCTCAATAGACTATAACACATAATTTTAAATTTTGTGATTGTACAACAGAAATTCATGCTAAATTCAGACCAAAGTTATCAAGTGACCAACAATTACTTGAAGAAATTTGCATTATGAAATCTCATTTATGTAGATTCCAAAATACTGTCAAATTTTAATTTTAAATTTGTCTTAATTTAATTTTAACTCCATAGTCTGAAAAATAGAGTAAATAAAAATTAATTTCTGGTTTCATATTTGAATTTTTTCATTCCTCATTTTAATTCTTATATTTGCACAGATATCTGAGTCAAAAGATCAAATCATTACTTTTAAAAATTATTCTAGCAAAGCTTTAAAGAAACCCTGAATATCTCAAAAAAGCATCACAAACATACACACAAAATAGGTAATGAACCAAGATTATTTTGGAGATATTACTATTTTGTTTGAATGCTAAGAATATATTTTTACTGCTATAAACTCTTTGTAAAAATTTCTTAGACAAACACTATTTCTTAGAGAAACAGTTCTATGTAAGAAAATTTAGTAAAAATCTGTAAGAAACAAAGTGAAAATTATTCTTAATACTATAATTTTAAATCTCTATATATGTATGTGCATAACAGTATTTCACACACATACACACGCACATGCAATTTTTTTCATTCCACCTCTCCGGTGGTAGCCAACACTAAATGTTTGATGGGTATAACAGACATATACATAAAAATTGGTATAGAGAAACTTTTCAACTAGAAATATTTTATTTATATAAGTTTTAAGATTAAGAGGTAAAAATTTTAAATTAGTAAGTTTTGTATTGATAGTCTATTTAATAGCTAATTAAGTGGCATACGATTTAAAGCAAACTCACAGTAAAAAAGCTGCTCTTGAAATCCATATTTTGAAATCAAAGAATTCACTGCTGTAGGCCTTTATGGAAAGAAAACAAAAACTTCTTACTTGTTATAGAGTTATACATATTTGTGAACTAAAAAATAACCAGGATAATTAATTTATGAAAAACACCAATTAATTTAAAAAGAAAAAAATGAAGGCAAAAATTGCATCAAGTTTTACATCCTTAATCCTAAGAATGATGCTACTGAAAAACCAAGGGAATAGATCTGTTTTCCTAATCCCGGATCAATTTACATTCCCACCACAATTTTCACCTCAGATTTAGTGATGCTTGACTATCTGCCTTGCCCTTTATTGTATGTTTGTTTTTCCTCATTCTATATTCTTTCTGTCTAAGAGGCTCCTCACCTGGGAAGAGTCAAATGAACATTATATAACTCTACATTTGAAGAAAAATGAGATTATAGATGTAAAAAAGAATCTGAAATGATACACTCCCAGATTAGGTGGATGACTGGGAGGAATTCACTTCAAATGATCTTTTTTTTGCTTATCAATATTTTCTGTAATGACTATGCATCTTTTTAAAAACACCTTTAATGAGGTATAATTTGCTAATCATAAATCCAACCAATTGCAAGTATACAATTCAAAGATCTTGATAAATATACAGAGTTGAGTATATTGAGTATATCACTACAATCCAGTTTTAGAACGTTTCCATCACCCAAAAAATTTCTTCATAAATGTCTGCAGTTATTTCCTGCTGGTACCCTTAGACCTAGAGTAACACTGATCTACTTTCTGCCTCTATAATTTTGCACTTCTAGAGATTTCATATAAGTGGAATCAATACGTGATCTCTTGTGTCTTGCTTCTTTCACTTAGCATGTTTTTGAGGTTCATGAACAATGAAGTATGAACCAATATTCATTCCTTTTTATTGCTGAACAGCATTATGTTGTATGGACATACCACAATTTGTTTATCAATTCATCAGCTGATGAACATTTGGGTTGTTTCCATTTTGGGGCTATCATGAATAGTGCTGCTATAAACATTTGTGTTCATGTCTTTGTGTGGGCAAATGTTTTCATTTATTTTGGGCAGATCTCTGTGACAGTTTTTCTAATTTTTTTTTTTTAAGTAAGGAATCTATAGGAAAAAAAGATCTAGACTTTTTCTGACTATAATTTTTTTCCCTATTCATTTTAAGCCAATCACACTTGTTCTCTGGTTTAGGTTTAGTCTATTTAATTAAGAGACTTTTAAGTTATTCCAACTAGTTGATCCTCTATTGTTTATTTGAGATGTTATCAATTTTCTCTTTGATGAATTTGGGAGAGCAAAAACAGTTGTCTGGATAGAACTGATACTTAAAACCCTGTGTTTGAGGATTTTTTGACTAAATTATTATTTTAACTAAATTAAAGTATGGATTAATTTGTTTTTTATTAACTTGTTTTACTCAAATTTTTCAGCTAAATTATCTGAGTACCCAAACCAATTAGATCCAATTAGGTATTCTGCTCTCCTCTGCTTATCTTGTAATGATTACAGCTTTCTTATGTTTTGTTTTCTGTGTGCTTTCTGTTCCCTTCTGTCTGAACACATCCTTACAGAAATGTAGAAGGCTCTTTGAAGGACATTATCTTAAAATTTCTGGGTGCATAACTTATTGTGGGTGTTCATTAAATGTTTAATTGAATTGCACATTTCTAGCTTTTTTTTTGGTACAATGGAACTTAGCTGTTAAACTGTTATTTTAATTTGGAATACAATGTAGTTTAGTACACTTGCATATCTCATTCTTCTAATTACTTCCTGCTCTTCTTTCTGGCTACCAATAATAATAATAAATATCAATCCTTTTCAAATCTGAGGTACAGGTATTTTCTCTGAAGTTAGATAAGAAAAGTGGGGTGGTTCCTTATATTTTAAGAGGCATATGTTAACATATGGTGCATTAAATGGAAGTACTTGGGAATCACACAGCGACATCTTTAGAGGCTCAAAATTTGTTTTGCCCTTATGGTTTGATAATATCTCCACACAGAGAAACTCAGCGCTACTATGAATCACAAAAAAATATTATTTGCTATATCTAATAACTACACTCACTGCAATAATTACTCAAAAAATTGTCAATAGGAAAAATATATTTTTAATTTTTATCTTTTGACTAAGTAATAAATACATAGGGTACAGAAAGTTACACAACGGAGCTCCTTCCATTCCTACCACTCAGCTTCTCAGCTCCACTCCCAGAAACAACTACTCTTACTAGTTTCCTTTGTTAGGAGATAATTAGTTTATCTCTGGTATAAGCTATCAGAGCCTGTGTGGAGTAAGGAGGGCATCCACACAGGAATAAGAGTTGTAGCAGCAATGGGAGATCATTCAAATAAAAAAAGAATTAACCAAATAAGCAAATATATTAAAGATAACAGAAGCTAGGCTTCTTACAGTCAGAGAAGGGAATTACAAATACGAGAAAGAAGAAAACTAGAACAAAACTTATGGTATTGAAAGGGAATTAGTGGTACTGGTGTAAACTCATAGATTTTGATACACATAAAGATAGAAAAAATATATATATATATACACACACATACATACATGTGTCTATGTGTATCCTTAGCTTGTCTGCTGAGAAGGCTTGAGTGTAGTGACAACCAAATAGCAATAAGCAATCCAGTGTCCAGATCTTGGTTTCTAAATACTATACTCTACTAAAAGGAACCAGGGCTCCTTGGGAAAATGGTTGAGACAGGGAAAGTATGAACTGAGCCTCAAACTTTTTGTGTGAGAAAGAAAATAAGTGCTCTAAGAATGATGGGGACATGTCAAAAGTACACAGGAGAGAGCCCAAAGGGCCTGCCACTAGCTCAACCAGAGCCAATTTGAAAATCTAAATACTAATGATAATAATCAATAATAATCCAGTGAATAAATTGGGGAACCATGAGTCCGTAGTGATATAAATAAATAAACTAAAAATTTGAGGAAAAGCAGGATAACTTACATAATCTCAAATTGCCTCCCCATAAATATTTAATTAGAAAGGAAAAATAAGTATCATTATAAGTAGCCTAGCAGATATCTCCTGATTAAGAAGTTGCAACTCATATCACCGATAACTGGAAAAAAATCTAAATTGTATGCCATCTGATAAGACTGAATAACAAGAACACAGAAACACTTCTGTGACATTCCTGCCAAAGATGCATATGAAAAGAACATCAGACAAACAAAATTGAACATTCTACAAAATAACTGGCATAAGACCTTCAAAAGTCTCAAGGTCATGAAAGTCAAGGAAAAAACATGCAAGTGTTGCAGATTGAAGGTGACTAAGGAGACATGACAATTACATGCAATATGTGATCCTTTTTTCTATAAAGATCATTATTGGAACAATTGGTAAAACATGAATGGGATCTAAGGACTGGATAGTAGTAATGTGTCAATGTCAAGTCGATTTTCTGATTTTGATGTTGTATGATAGTTATATAAAACAATGCCCTTGTTTGCAGCACATACAGACTAAAGTATTTGTAATGATGGGACATCGTATCAGCAACTTCCTCTCAAATGGAGAAGAAAAACAAAGCTTCTTTTGTAACTCTGCTGTGAGAAATTATTATATATATTAAAATAAAATTATCGCATTAGATTGCAAGCTCTCCCATCTAACCTTCTAGTCTTTTGTACCACCAGTGCCTTTCATGTATGAGGTGTTCAAGAAATGGTTTTGATTTGTTGAATGACAAAAAGAAATTACTGTGGCCATCATGCAAAAAATGTGTGGAAGGTAATAAGTGTAGAAAAAAGTGTGGTTAGAAAACTACTAAAATAGTCCAGGTAAAAAAATGGACTGAAATGGTGGGAACGGTGATATCAGAGATGTAATGATTACATAAATATTTAAAACACAGAATTCAAAAGACTTAGTGTTCTGGAAAGGAGGGTAAGAGAGAGAAATTATTAGAAAGACTGACTCCCAGATTTCTGGCAAAATCAAGCAAATGATTAACATAACTGGTAATAGAAACAAAAGTGGAAGAATTAATTCAGGTGGAGTAGGAGTAAGATACCTCAGGAATAGTGAGTTATTTAAAATATGTTGAATTTGAGGCATTTGTAAAACATTTTAGTATAGATGCTCTGCATGAGTCTGGAATTTAAAAGAAAGGTAAAATCACCTAGTAAAAGTGCAAGACTGAAAAGACAGCCTGAAGCAAAATTTAAAGGCTACGGAAAGGAGGAAGAGCCAGAAAAGGTGACGTAGAAGGTACAGCCAAAAGAGATAAGAAGAAACCAATAAAGTGTGGTATTAAAAAAAAAAAAAAAAAAAAAAGGAATGAGAACATTTCAAGGAAGATGTAATTGAGTTAAATGCTGCTGCAAAATCGAGTAAAACTAGGACAGAATGTACCCATTAGATTCAATGATACTGATATCATTGTTTTGTGGTGGAAGCCAGATGGGTGAGTTGAGAAGTGACAGAAGGTAAAAAAACTGAGATAGTAAATTAGACAACTCTTGAGACGGTTTACTTTAAGAAACAAACAAAATATATGCAGTGGAATATGGGGTTGAGAGAGGTTTGATTGTTTTAAAATGAGAGCAGTTGGACATATTTAAAAGCTGGTGGGACCCAAACACCACTGAGATAAAGTTAATGACAAAGGAGAGAAGATAATTGAGAATGTAGGTTTCTTAGTTCCACAATGGAGTTTGTCACATAGGCCCAAAACTTTTCAGAAATTCTTATTTTAGAAAAGTTGAAGTAATTTTGAAAGCAACACTGTTATTCATTAGAATTGTAGTGTTATTTGATAAAAAGGGTTCTAAAATCATCTAGGCCCATCTGATGTCCAAAGTTAAGTGACTGACTTATCTGCTCAAGGTCATATGGTTACTGTGTGATGGAGCTATGACCCAAGGACATCTGAGTTTAAACCACATACTCTTTCCATGATCCAGGGTGATTTTATATACTGATCTGAATATCGTGAAGAAGTGCATCTGGAGACATGCAGGTGTTGGAGGTAGGGAGGAGAAGATGTGGATTAGAGATAGTTCAGCTATATTCCAGGACTCTGGAATCCCCACTCCCATATTTGTTTAATAAACTAGGGCCCTAAATGAAATTATTCTTAAAAAAAATATGCTAGAAAGAAAAAATGCAAACCACAATCAAAAAATATGTAGAATTTAAAACATGCTTACCGAGTAACAGCACTGAACAGTCCACGGATGCGTGCTTTATGTCGAGCTACAAAAGCTTCAGTAAATATTACTCCTCTGTTATCAAGATCAATGTGTCCATTAATAATTCTACCTAGTCGCTGAGTTAGTGCCTGAGGATAAAGCAGCAAATTTTTATTAATTTTAACGAACAAAATTACACAGATGTATCTGTATAGTCTTACTGAAGTCATGCTGCATGCTGATGTTGTATTAATCATACTACTGAGAAATTTCAACAAGCATAAATAAGATATATAAGCTAAAACCAAGATTTAGAGTCTAGGAAATTTCATAATCTCATGGCAGAATCGAGACTGAAAGGGTCAAATAGCTGATATATTAAAAAGTTATGTTACTTGCTAATAAGGGCTATTTCTAATATAAAATAAAAATGACTGATTAACCACTTTTCTAGATATAAGCAGTTTGAAACATACAGACAGCCAAGACATACACATGGGCCCCGGAGAAGACCCCCTCTGCAGCTTCTAATACTAACAGAGAGAAATAAATGTTATTCCAAGATGTTGCAAACTAGGGAAATACAAGATCTGAAAAATTACCTTCTTTGATGAAAATATTAACAAGTTATCTGTGTCCAGAGATTTACACTGGCAGAAAAACTGATTTCTTAGTAACCTCAAGAGAGTGTTTCTCCACAGCTACACTATGGCTGGAGTCGGGGATATCTGAAATAAGTCTGGACATCTTTCACATCTCCAAATAAGTTAAATCTAATTAAAACAGCCAAGCTGATAATTTTATGGTATAGAAAAATGCTTTTCAAACATTAAGAAACCATATACATTTCCAAAATGTATCAGTAGCATAGTTTTATAAGAAATCATTTAGCTCTATTCTGATACTTTAAAGAAGTATTTGAAATTTATTTTTAACCTTCTGTGATTAACATGTATTTATTTAAAATAGAACTTAGGCTTTTAAAATTTTATGTAAAATAGATCTATACCCTAAGTGGTATTTTAGAAACAATTAGAGAAATCACTCCTTTAAAATGGGTGAGTAAATCTGTTCATATTATACATTAATTTCATGTAATTAAGGTTTGGTAAATTTTTGTAAACTGGATTGCCTTAAACTGATATATACTTAAAAAGAGATTTTGCTTTTCTTTTATTTGTTTCAGTAAGTACAAAACAAAACCATCATTTATTGAGTGTCTCCACTGTGCTAGACATTTCATTAGGTATACCATGTATATAACCTCATTGAAGTCTACGAAAAAGACAATTATTCCCATTTTACAGATATGTAGAGATGAAATAATCTTTCTAATATTGAATATCTAAGCAGTGGCAGAGATAGAATTCAAACAAAGGTTTATTTAACTCCAAAATGTCAAACTATTTTAAGAAAAAAGAAAATAAACAAGAAAATAGCCTCTATTTTCATGTAGTACTGCTATTATGCTATAAATCAAAGTATTTCAGTATTGACACTAGTATCTAAAATTAATTAAGAGGTTATGAGAGATTCCTTGGTTCTTCTTCCAATCACACTGACAGTTTAGAGGAAAAAAGTGGCATCAAAATATGGTGGTACTATTGACATTTTGGGCAAGAAAATTCTTTGCTGGGGGGACGTCCTATGCATTGTAGGATATTTAGCAGCATCCCTGACCTTTACACCACAGATGCCAGTAGCACCCCCTCTAAATTATAATCGTCATTAGTTACTTCTTAAAATACAACTGGGCAATCAGAATTGTAGCTATACTGGTTAAAGTTTCTTGTACAGTTGATATTAGAATCATTAAATAAACTTATGCACTCATGGTATCCTTGCTATTGCATCAAAGTAGACTTACAACTTAGTCTATTAATTGTTTTTAGGGTGTCTCTAGGTTCAGGAAGATAATAATCATTTCTAAACAGTCTCATCAGAGCCATCAATGTATAAGAACTATCCCCCAAATATGTTGCTACAACAACAATAATCGCATGCAAAAAATCAGTTAATGGTAAGTCAGTCTAGTTTTTCTCTCCCATTAAAATTCTTTATTTTTTCTAAAAAAAATATTATATTATTAAGAAAAAAATACCTGTGTCAGAAAGTTTCCAGGAAGATCATAGGTTTTACATAGTTCTGATATGGTTACCTGACCACTTTCTTGCAATTTATCATTTACCTCCTCTGCTAACCGATCCAAATAGTTCCTAATAGTAATAACAAAAACAAAAACAACTAATTAGGATTAATGAAATGGTTTTCCTCTATTGTTTATGTTTAATTTCTGTTGCAATAAGGTATGCCCCAAAATTAATAAATAAGGTACGTTTAGGTAAACACTATTCATTACTCATGTTCTGAAAAACATTTATTTTCTTATCAATGTAACTGAATGTAAGGTTAATTAAATGATAAATGTTGGAATTTTTTTTTAAATAATGGAAATTCTGCAGTCATTTTTTATTAATATTGTTGGAACAAATTTGCTTTCAGAGTTAAGATCACATAGGAAAGACTATAATAATAATGCTTTGTGTTGCTTTAAGATAATAGAAAAATATCAAAGTTTATGTTATTTCCAAGTACTCCACACAATTAAGCACTTACTTTTTAGGTACAATTATCCTTATAATAAAAGTCAGCACTGTAAGAGTTCTAAACAAAATACTGAACTGATCATAATTGTTCTAAATTTAAATATAAACACTATTTTTTTAAAAAAAGAAACACAATAAAGTGCTCTTAGATATTGTACTTACTCATCTATCAGTTGTCCCAACACTAGTTGAACATGCTTTTCTGACTTAACAATGTCACCAATTCTATTTTCAATATGAGTCAGGTCCACATTAATTACCTGGAAAATATATACAAATTCTATTAGTGATAAGTTCATATTATTCCTTAAGTTCAAAATTATATATTTAGAGCTATCTTTTAAAAATTTACTCTTAGTTGGATTTCAAATTGATGTGAAATATTGTTAAAAACCTCAAATAAAAAATCAGAGGCATATTGCTTATTTATTTTCATTTCTGAAAAATTACACTTAAACTTGCTAGGAAAGTTTGTGTTAAAAAGTGACATTTTCATATAATAGGTACTGTTTCACACAAGATTCACCAGCTTTTCATATATACTGTAAGTTGCTGATAACACGTGCACTTATATTTTCTAAAAATACCTTCTCCTTTTCAAATATTTCTCTATTGCACATACTAAAAACAAGTAAACATGTAACTAGTAATTTTTTTCCTAAAATTACATAAACCTTGTAATTACCCTGATTCAATATATCAGGACTTACTAAATGGATTCAATGTTATCAGTGAGAAATTTAATTCTTTACAAACTTACAAAGTCTGATATCTGTATTAGCGAATACTTAAGGCATTAAAAAAATTCATAGTATCAAAAAACTGAGAAATCAAAGGAAAATTTTTACAAATTATAAATTTACCTGTTGCAGATCAACAATGTTTACTCGACCTTTAAAGGAAGAACATTCATTTATTTTAAATCATGTATAAGTACACGCTAGCCAAAAACTGTAAATGCCAACAGATTTACATTTTGTACAAAGTCCTTCTACAAAGGACATACATCCACAATAATTAATGTCTTCAAATACACACCATTAGCTGCATAAATATTCATGGCTGAAGGAAGAGGCAATAATTTATTTCCAAAGTATCATTTGTCACATCAGGCCAATTACAAGCATCGATTGATACACAAGTTGACCAGACCTACTGGGGTATTTATCTCCCTTCACAATTTATCTTCTGTGACCAAAGAAATATCAACTAAATAAACATTTTGTCAATTATTTAAAATTGGTAGACTTCCACCTATTAGTAAATGAAAATCTGTTAAATGTTCCACATTATAGCCAATATTAGTCATGCAACAAATTGATAAACCATGAAAAGAAACAACTGATTCACGTAGACTCATAATTCAAAATAATGCTATTTTGTAAAGTGAAAATATTTGACGACACTTAAATTATATGCTCATGTTTACCTGACCTGTTAAAAATATTAAACTGTTATCATATTGATAATTGAGAGGGTATCCTATAATCTCCAAATAATTTATCATTTATGGCTTTAAGGTTTTTTTCCCTTCGGAAGATCAGAAGGAAAAAAGACTAAGAAATTACTTACCACCTCGGACATGTAGTTCATCTCTCATTTCTTTACTAATTTGTGCTGGAGTAACATATTCCTTCCCATCAAGTGTGTGAACTACTTCTAGCTGTTTCTGAGCAATCAATTTATTCACAATCTCAATGCAGTTCCGCTCTGACAATCTGAAGGAAACAAGTTTTAAAAATGCAGTCGATACATTTGGTGCTCAATAAAATTAATAGACTATGAAGGTGGGCTTTTAAAAAAAGTTTGGGTAAGAGTCACTAGGTTCTATATTACAAAATCTATATCTCATATTAGCATAACAATCCTAATTTAGTAAGTAAAATAAAAAAAGAACACTTGGGAGTAAGCAGGTTTACATCAACTTAAAACATGTACGAGTCATTCTATTATGGGTTTCAAGTTTGCTCTCTTCTAGCCCTACTTCTAATCTTTAAATCTGAATAGAAAAGTGAGGACATAAAATTTAGGCAGGAAAAAACTCTGCTCTACATTCTTACAAAGCAAGAGATCTGGCCTAGGAAAACCATAACTGCAACTGTTAGTTACCCAAGCACTTAAGTACCGTATGTGCTCTAGTTTGCTCTGTGCTACAAAATACAGGATCAAGGGATTAAATTTTTCAGCCCGAAATAAAAACACCGAAGGCAAGACATAGACAACGGATAAACAAGGATTCTATTAGCATTATCTATGTGTACTGCTAAAAAGCAGTTAGAGTGCTCTAAACACATTCCCCCCAAATTAGTGGCTTTGTAGTAAATGTCAATGTCCGGGAGCCCCTAAAAATGACAGATGGGACCATGGCTCTAGCCTAGCATTATCTGTTCTGGGCAAAAAGGCAAAATGTTTTAAGAGTCAACACAGTATTCGCAAAGTACTGTAATTTGGGGTTAATCCCTCTTTTCAATCTCATTCTAGATTAGGAAGTGTATAAAAGGCAATGATGCCACGACTTGATGACAGGTAAGGATGAGGGACACTGTGACAGCTTGAAGGCACCAGCCTAGGCCATCGTGGGGGCGGGGCACGCTAGCACCTGGCTGGGGTACGGATGGGGGTTCCACAGGTTTCGGGCTTCCCAGCTAAGAACGTATAGGACCACAATCCACGCTGGGTAATTAGGGGTGTGGCGGCAACAGTGACAGTCTGGGAAGGTCCGGGGCCGAGGGCCAGAGACCCGCGGCTTCCGATGATGGAGTGGCCGCCCCGGGGCTATTTTTGGACGCCTCAAAAGAGAGGGAGGGTCAGGCACCTCTGCGTAGCCTCGGCGAACTGCGCCCGCTGGAAGTCAGCCGCCAACCGCCTGATCTCTTCCCAGGCATCCGCCATCGCGGCCCTACACGCC